GCTGTTTGATGCTTCAAACACAGAGAAAACATTTTGCTTTATGAATAAGTGGGTGAATTTTCTGCATAAACACATATTTTATATTAACTGCAGCCTTCCATGTGATTGCAATGTAACTGAGAAGATAATTACCAGAAACAGATTATCTGTTCCTTTCAGAGCTTCTTGGTGTTTTGCTCTTTGTCTAGGGTTTACACTTTAAGCAAGAAAAACAAGTTATCCTATGAATACCTCAGGTGACAGGATGTTGTTTAATGTACCAAACGGCAACTCAAATATTAGGCTTAATTCTGTATTCAGCTCTCTCTCTTTCTGTGGGCAACCTGATAACACAGAATAGCCTGTGTCTCACTTGAGCATTTGTGATTCCTCACTCTACAAGAGCAGAAAGCACACTAGTATTCAGGAAGCATTCAGATCACTGAGAGGCAGGGTTGCACTGATACACTTTGAAAAGAGCCCTAGGTTTCATCTGGGTTCTTTTAAAGAATTCTTTAAAAACCCAGAAATGTTCCAGAGAGTGCTTTGCTTTTGAAAGGTTTTCCTGCAGAAGACAAAGAGGATTTTGGAGTAGAGCTGTGACTGCCTGTTCCTGCACAGCTGCTAAGCTGAGTGGAACGTGTTGTTGAGTTGGTTCTGTGAATGTGGTCAGGTCCAGCAGAGACCACTGTTACAGACTAATGGACCTTCGTGGTACAACAGCCCAGTGTCTTTAACTGAACTTTACCCAGTGCTGGAAGACGTGTGCCTTGTGATTACCTGACCCAAGGCAGGACCTCAGCATGCCCCTCTGCAGCAGACTCAGGATCTGTGCCTAGGGGGAATGGGTGCTTCTGGATCCAAAACTTATCCCATTGCTAGGGAGTAGTTTGTTTCTGAGAAGTGGTAGCATGAGTTTAGTCATTCTATAGGGAATGAACCTTAAACAAAACTCAGAGAATGACTGTGTAGAAAGAAAAGACAAAGAAAAGAAGTCAAGCAAACTGTTTTTAGCCACTCACAGCCATTCTTTCCTGAGTTTTTTATTCCTTCTTGTGAGAGCCATTGCTGTGTGTGTCTATGCCCTCCCACCAGGACAACTTTGTGATGTGGAAGATGAAGAAAGCTGAGTATTGAGTTCCTGTCCAGTCTCTTAGGTCCTCTGGACTGGTGATAATGAACTAGCTTTTGGACTGAGGCTTCAGAAACTCCAGAAGTCAACAGTTTCTTGGGGTTCAGCCTCTGGCCCCTCCAGCAAACAGCACTTCCCTCAGTCTTTACCTATATGATGGCTCTCCATCGTGTCCTTGGCCAGCATGGAGACCTTTCTTTTCTCTCTCCCAGTCTTTTGTTTCTCCTGGACTTTTTATGCATGTAGGCATTTCCATTTGTTCTTCACTCTGACCAGCCTTTGCCTTTCCATGGCAAATAAGTAAAATACCATGAGGTAATTGAAAAATGTAATAGACATAGTATCCCTTTGTGCAATCCGAAACACCTGGGCCTGAAAACTCATCTTTGTAGCTTAAAACCTCACTGGAATTTTGGTCATTTTTTCCCCTTCTTTGCTGGGGACAAGAAATGCTGAAACCTCTGTGCCCTCCTGTTGTTGCACACACACTGTCTGAATTTTTGCAATGAAAACATAATGGTATGGATTTGGCAGATTTGATCATGAAGCTCATTCAGCAGATGCCAATAACGGCTGAATATTAGATATTATTAAGATGAAGACATAAAATAAAGCTGTGAGATAGCATATGTTGGCTGGTAGTAAGTATCTTGCAGATGCTTGGAAGCATGAGATTCAGTGTAGGAGTTACTTTGATAGAACTATTGCACCATTGCTGCCAGTTCAGTGGATGTATTCAAAACAGAAGGATTTCGGAAACTCTTGTGAGAGCAATACCAACACTGAGTAGTAAAGATCAGCACATGTTCCTAGTCAAGAGCCCACACCTATCATGGTTCTGAGATTGCTGCATAGTAAGGTCGAGATCCCTGTGGCAGTTTAAAGCCATAAATGCTCCCTGCATTTTGCTACCTCATTAAAAAATTTAGAAGGATGAAGCAGACCTTATTTTTCTCATGATGCTGTTGCCTGAGTTGGCTTCATCTGGCCTAAGACAAGCTGATGGCTGCAGTGCCCAGGCAGAGGATGGCAAAGGTGCTTTACGTGGGCACTGACTGCTGCAGGACCTACCTCCGAAACCTATGAGATAAAATCTTGCTGGTGTTTCAGCACCCTCCTTCCACCTGCTTGGACTCATCCTCACAAGAAGGGATGGGTAAGTGCCAACACCCATGGTGGGCAGTGCCTGTGAAGGACCTGCAGATGCAATGAGACAAGCACATGTCAGCACTTGGGCACCCTGCCTGCAGCACCTACCTCTAGGTGGTGGAGGTGGGCGGGGAGGGACCTGCCTGTACCCAGCAAGGAAGAAACCTGACTCCTGGGAGCTGGGTCCCAAACACACAGCACCGCCACTGCTGTAAAAAGTAAATAGCAGAAGAGAAACAGTCAGAAAAGAGAAAAGGTCTTCTCCTCCAAGCCTGAGACACCACAGAGGTAAGAAAGCTTCACTAAATAAAAAAATATTCAGTAAAATATTGCTTAATATTGGCGGCATCTGATACTTTGTGTGATCAGGTACCCCCGCTCCCACCTGCGAGGAAAATTCTCAGCCAGAGAAGGTCTCTGACCTTACTGACAAAGTTCCCAGGTGGTGTCACAGGCAGCACTGCATGTTGTATGGCCTTTGTGCCTCACAGCCCTCCAGTGGGGGTCACAGCATCATTCCGATGGGTCCCAGCAGCAGTTTCACTGTACTCTTGGTTCCCTTCAGTTGGGGGATTTTTATTTTCCCTGCCAGCAGCAGCTTTGTCACTGCTGTTCTTTTGGCTCATGTAATTGGTGTTTAGCTGGATTTACAAACAGAGGAAATTTTGTGACTCCCTGAAGATAGACACTAGCTGCTTCTTCAAAGAAAACAGGGCTGCAAAGGTTTGGGATGAGCAAAACGTGGATTTGGTAGGAACTGTTAGGAAGTTTACTGTGCCTGCACAGATTTCTGGTGTTATTTGAGGTGCTGGAAAGTGTATCCCACCTGCTTACCAGCTGCTGTTTGAGACTAGTGTGGTTCTTACATCCTGCTTCCTCTGAGGTTGTCTGGCTAGTGTGGGGTGCTGGAGGTGGCACTGCACTGAGTTCTGCACAGCAGCACCAGGGATCAAGGCTCCCTCTCCTTTTGTGGAAGAGTTGTGGCACTTCCCAGAAGAAAGGCATGTAGCCCAGAGCAGGTACCAGTGAAATGCTCCAACACCCCTCAGCAAACAGTAGCAGGGTATCCCAGCATTAGGATGTGTGGGCAAAGGCCAGGGCTTGATGCTTGTCCTGCCAGCACCCTGGGCTGTGCCTGCCACAGATGTTTTGGAGGAGATTGTCATCACCCCACAGAGGTGTGATGTGGCAGCTTAGGGCAGAATATGTTTGCAGGTCTCCAGTCATAAAGGAACAGAAAAGGAGAAAAACAGGTGCCCAGATTTTGTTATTGCAAAGCCTTTGGCGATTCAGACACACAGTAAATCTTCACCTCTTCCTGTGGGCTCTTCCAAGCACCTTTCTTGGTTTCTGTTGAGCTGGTTCCACTTGGAAGTAGTCCCTAGCTGTTGGCCATCATAATCAGCTGGTGGCACTGTGTGCTGCTGGCAGCTATTGCTGCCTCTGAGGACATTGCCGAGAGACAGATGTAACCAATATCCTTTGCATCTTCTTGGGTGCTGGACTGTAATGACCTGTGACAGCAAGGTCTGTGTATGTGACCTAACCAACTAATCTGCCATTAGTCCTTAATGACCTCCTTCTAACTGTACCTCAGTATAGGATCAAGGTATCCATCCTGGAGTACTGTAATTCCATGCTTTCTGTGTTCATGCTGCCCTCTATCTCAAACTGAATTTTGTATCTTTCATTAGATGCTCTCAGCCATTAATTCCCTCCAGCTCTCACCCTTCTGCAGCCTCCCCAGTCTCTGCTGGTTGGCTGTGAACGCAGCCTGGGCCAAGCCCGGCACTCCTGAAGGGAGGTAATCAAAGGAGAGGGTGTCAGCAAAGTGCAGAGGTGTTGAGCCCCCCCTCTGCATTGCCTGAGCATGCACTCAGCAGGAAAGCTTGTGGGTTTAAGCAATCAGTGTGCTTAATCCCTGCCCTGGGATTAAAATGAGTTTTCTGATGAGGAAGAACAACAGCGATGAGGCCAAAAGATCTAGTGCTGAAAGCCAGAAGCACTCGCAGAGGAATCCAGCTTCCAGTTGCAATCCAGAATGTGTGGCTGTGTTTATGGATGCATTGAGAGGATGGAGATTAGTGTGGAAAGGGATTAGGTAGAGGGACAGGTTCACAGCAGGAAGCTGCGTGCTGCTTGGGTGAGGAGCTCAGTGGCTTCCTGCCACTCCCAAGATCCTGGGGCTAGGGAACTGGCTGGGTCAGCTAGTTCTGCCTCAGTGGGGGCTCCCACCAGGCTGAGCAATTGCAGAGTGCAGCACCTCTACTCCCCATTCAAACCCAGTTCCACTGGGGAGCCTCCAACAGGGGCAACAACTACTGTTTGTATCATGTCACAGCTCCTGGAGATGCCGCATCTTTTAGACTGGCACTGCATTTCACTGACCTCTGGACTGGGGAAGTTGTCACATGCTCTTAGCAGGTCTCCAGTCTTCCCTAGGTCAGTCCCTGGACTTTCACAAAAATAGCCAGTGTGATGTGATGACTGATGTCTCTCAGTTCAACTAACTTACCCTGTGATGTTTCTATGTCTTTTTCACCAAAACCCTAATGGGAAGGGACATCTTCCAGTAGCTGCATGAAGCAAACTCGTATTTGGTTGTATCTGAATATTTCCACTCCAGTGTGAGAAACTGCCTTGCTGTTTTCTTGCTCAGGTGACTTTGTGACTGTTGTGAGGTTTCACAGGTAAATCCTAGCCTTGCCCACAGTGACAGTTGATTCCAGCAGGAGCGGAGATGGCCACTGCACCAAAAGAGGCAGAAAATGTTATTGGCTTGGAGGAAATACACGAAGAGAGAAAAGAACCACCAAAAGGTGGGTTTGTATTGACAGAACTAGAAATTTGGGTCCTTGTTTAGCTGGCATAGAGGAAGGGTTCTCAGTTGTGGCACTCCAGCTACCTAAAACCTCTGTACATGTTGTGGCTACAACATTGGCATCCTACATTCCCCTCCCACTACACCTACCAGGCTGGTGACTGCTGCCTATGGCAGTGGGAAGAGCTGGCTGGCTTTGCTTTTCCCAGGCCTCTGCTTCGTGTAAACATTTTATTATATTGGTAATTTGAGGATTCATTTACTTGGGATCATTTTTTAAATGTTACTCTGTCCCAAAAGCATTTTAAATTGTACAAGGCTGCCCTCCCTCTGTTTGTACTGGCTGCTGTTTCAGCAACCTCCTGTTGTGCCTTGTCATCAGGACATCCAGAGGCTTATCAGTGGTAGATGTTTCTAGGCTTTTTCGTGGTGCAGTCCCACAGTGGCATGAAGAATATTTTTTATGAAGAAGCGGTACAATTTGACTGCTGATTAAGTTTTAATGTCTTAATTTTCTTTTCATTTTTAGGGCAAAAGACATTTACAGTGGAAGAAGCTGTGGAAACCATTGGGTTTGGGAGGTTCCATATCATGCTTTTCCTCATCATGGGCAGCACTGGGGTATGTATCTGCAGCCATCTGTGCTGGCCTGAAAAATTCTTTCTTCTAATTTTTCTCATTACTGTGCAATAACCATAAGCATATACTGCTGCCAGCCCATTTTTTTCCACACATACCTTCTCAAGCAGGATTTCTAATATTTTCATCTTTGGTGAAAGTAGATTTTGGCCTCATTGATATCAGACCTATTTCAGGGCAAAGCTGAGCAGGTTGGCCCAGAGCATCATGGTTGGGCCCCAGTCCTGTCAGGACACATCTTCAGCTAGTGCCTGAACATTAGGTTCAGCTTCACAATGGCATTTTTCTTGTCCTCCACATGACACCAAAGTCCTGTGCAATCTGGATCAGAAGACCTGGCATCTTCTCACTCCTGGCTACTTGAAAAATTTCCCAACTTTTATGGTCTTGGGTTAATTGTGTATCTGGTTTGGGAACTTGGGCAAAAGCTGGAGGCCAGGCTGGGGTGAAGATGTAATGGGGGTCTATCCACAGCTAGGTACACAACCAAGCAGCTTGTTTTCCAGAGATTGTTGAAGATCTTCTATTAACACTGCAGGGTAAGAGTCTTCTCTGCCAAGGATGACTTTCCAAACTTCCCAGATATACAGCGTACCTGTACCTGCTTTCTAGATGAACCTTTCTCTCCTCCTCTCCCTGTCACCAAGATATTCCAGGTCAGGCACAGGGGTCAGACCACTGTGGAGGCACCATGGCTTCACAGGACTGTTTTGACATGGTGGAACTGCCATGGCTGCAGGCCTTGTAGGACGGAGAGACTTTCCCCTGTGGGCTTCTTCTGGTTTCCCTTCTTGCTAATGTGCACACTTGTTCCCAAAGGTGGCTGAAGCCATGGAGATCATGCTGATAGCTGTCGTGTCCCCTCTCATCCGATGTGAGTGGCAGCTCCAAGACTGGCAGGTGGCTTTAGTGACAACAGTGAGTGACTCATGTTCCCCCCAAGACAGGTCATCCACCATGTGGCCATAGTCATGGGCACCACCACGGATTTTGGAAAACACATTTGCCAGCAAACCAAAATAATTTGTAGGGCCTCCTTACAGGGACAAGAACAGTGCCACAACTGTAGACATAAGAAATAAAGCTGATGAGAGCAGATGTCCATGCCCAAATGCGCTGGTTTTCACAGAGGAAGTAATGCCAAAGCCAAAGAAAATTACCTCTTCCACATTCTTATTTTGAAAACCTTGCCATCCACCCCCAGCTTTGAGGGCTGCACCAGTGAATGCCTACACAAAGGAAGCCATCCCCTGAAAGCTGCTTGCTTGTGGTTCTGAATGCTTTAGCTCATCCTGCTGCCCTGAGAACACACAGCTCACCCACAGCTCAAAGAGCAGAGCTGCCCCATGTAGCTGGGAATGGGCCCTCCACAGCTGTGTTTCAATTCCCCTCAGATGGTGTTTTTTGGCTACATGGTGTTCAGCATAGTGCTCGGGCTCCTGGCAGACAGGTACGGCCGCTGGAAGGTGAGTGACTGCCAGAGGCTGCGCTTCCTTTTCCTGCCTTCCACAGGAGCCATGCACCTGGCTGAGCCTGTGCTTTAATGACCTTAATCCTTGTCCTTTTGCAGATCCTGCTGCTCTCCTTCCTCTGGGCAGCCTATTTCTCCCTGCTGACCTCGTTTGCCCCATCCTACATCTGGTTTGTGTTCCTGCGGGCCATGGTAGGAGGGGGTGTGTCAGGCCACGCGCAAGGGTAAGGCTGTGCCAGCCACCTTCCCAGAGAAGGTAATGGAGGGGCTGCAAGGGGAAAGGGGGCCAAATTCCCACATCACCTTGGAACAAAAAGCCTTTCTGTAATTTCACTAAATCGCAGTCAATTGACCTAATTTGCAGTTCCCAAGGACTCCTGAGGCCTGGAATAGAGGGGGCAGCTGGTTTACATTAAACTGGTGACAGAGGGATTATTAAGCACATATAAAAAAAATTAGAGAGGTAATAGATGAATAAAGACTACTTCCTCCTTAAAAAAAAGTCACAACAATTCTGCTTAAGTAGAAAATTCTTTTTGAATTATGTAAAACGTTCTCACTGAAATCAAATTATTTGTCTTGTTGGTGCAGAAAGGAGGATGGGGAGAGGAAAAATTCACAATATTAACAACCACTTCACTAGGGGCCTGGAAAAATAATATTTTTTTGTTGACTCTCTTATGGAAACAAATGAAACATTTCAGCACCTTCCGTGGTTCCCCAAAGTCTGGTTGCTGCCCATAAAGGAAAATCCCAAACTGAACAAACATTGACCCAAAAGCCCTTTGCTGAAGGAAAGGACGTGGGGGAGAGAGGTGCTGTTGAGAGGAGAAGGCACCTGCACCTGAGTCATGCATCTGCTGAGCTGCTGGCACTGGCTCCCTCACAGGAGGGCCCCCTCATGGAGACTGCTCATGAGGATGAAAGGAAATTGAACGTTTTATAAAACACTTCACTGGCTGAGACAGAAGGAGACACTGAGGGTCTCTTCCCACCTCTCTCTCTCTCCTACTTAGGAAACAAAATTCACACTGGAGACTTTGAGAGATGCCTGTGCCATGAGCCACCTGCCCCAAGGATACTTTAACCATTTAAAAAGGGGAACAGAGTTTAATTTATTTCATGAAAAAACCTGTTTGCTAAAATGTTCATTTCTATGAGCATATCTATGCCTGTGCTGGCACCTCAGTCACCCCACAGGACCTTCCTATAGGTTTCCTGATGTACAGACTGCAGTGTTTACCTGCAGTTTACCTGTTGTATCCCACAGCTGTGGCCTGGAAAGGATTCGTGCCTTATGTTTACCTTGCATGTAATTTGATGCTGGAGTGGGAGGCATATTGGACAGGGATTCCTTGTCTCTTGGTGCTCAAGGTGGAAGAGGGATGGTATTCATTCTATGAGTTGAGCTGAACTGTTACTTGATTTGTATGGAAATTCTTATTGCAACTATGTTTCTGCTTTTTCTTTCCTTTTTTGCTAGACTTATCATAAAAACGGAATTTTTGCCCACCAAATACCGGGGATACATGTTGCCCTTATCTCAGGTAAAAGTGAGCACATCACTGTTTCTTCTAACTCTGAGTCCCAGGAGATTAGTCCCACTGCAGTTTGGAAGCCGCGCCTCCAGCACATCAGCACTTCTCCCAGACTAATCACACTCGTCTGGGTCTGAGCGAGTGTCCACTGCCTCCTGTGCCTCAGAGTGCGGCATCTGTGTTACTAAAGACATACACAGGAGAGAGGCAATATTTGCTCAAATGATTTGATGCTCCAAACATCCTAGAGGAACTTTGAGTGATGGCTGACACCCAGCCTCTTGGTTGTCCTATTGACAATGGGGCCAGCACTGATGGACTGGCAGGCACTGGAGCTAGTGGCATTTCCAGCCCACTCCAAGCTGAGGTGTATCCCCCTCCCCCTCTTTGGACCCCCAGAGATAACAAGTGGTTTATGCAGTGACTCCCAGGTGAGGTCCTAATCTGCTCCTCTCCTTGCTCAGGTTCTGCCAGGGGATTTGCACAGGAGAGAGTTAGCACAGATAGTCCCAAATTTGGCCTGATATGTGCTGGGAGGGTTGTGCCCTCTTGCTGGGTCACTGCTTACTGCAGATTTCTGCAGTGCACAGTTCCTGCATGTGCAGATGATCAGTAGTGACACCTCTGAGTGCACAAATTCATCCCACTGCTCTTCATGTCAGGGATAGTTTCCTTTTCAACTGCAGCCTCCTCGATCCAAGGAGCATTACCAAAGTGTCATCAGAAATACAAAGATTTATGGAAGAGCAATCTTTCTTTTCTCCCCAGAAATTTGTTATTTCTGCCCACAGGCTATTCATGATCTTGCTGCAGCTTTTGTGATTTGTGTTGGCTGAGCTCCCTTGGGTGGTCCCCTGGAAAGGGATGTGTCTCCTAATGGCAACAAGTGAACTTCAGAAAGGAATGTACTTGCAGATCAGAGGCCAGATTCTCTGTTGGTATAGCTTGGTATTGAGTCTACTGGAGAGTCACCAACTTTCAGCAGTGGAAATCTGGCCTGGTTTTGCCTTCTGAGTTTGTAAATCTGCTACTTCAGTGAAGAGACCTAGACAACAGGAAAATTCATGGGCATGAGCATTCACAGAGAAGTGACTGGAAGGACAAAAGCAGTGGCTCTAAGTACAATTGTATCCACAGCAAATTATTGGGTTTTGCCTGCAGCTAATTGAGACCACCTTCACTGTCACTCCCCAGATTCTTGTCTTCCCCTCTCTCCTCCCACCCAAGCCCATTTTCTCAGTCAGCCACCGGATGGCTCAATTGAACCTCAGCATTCCCTAGGACAGTTCCCCATCTAGCCACAGAAGTAGACCAGAAGAGAATAAATCATTGCTGTGTGTTCATGTTCTAACCCCTTTCTTTCCCTTGGAAAGGTGTTTTGGTTGGCAGGATCCTTGTTAATCATTGGCCTGGCATCAGTGGTGAACCCAGCCATCGGCTGGCGGTGGCTGATCAGAATTGCCTCCATCCCTGGCATTCTTCTCATCCTGGTGTTCAAGGTAGGAAGATCTCCACTCCCCACTCCCTGCTGTACTGCCATTGCCCTGATGTCTCCCCAGGCACCATTGCCCTCCACCCCCTTCATCCTAGGGCTCTTCTTGTGTCCTCCTTTCTCCCCTTCAGTCCTCTCACACGGCAGCTTGGTAAGGTCCTGAAGTCCTGGCAGGGCTGCAGACCAGCTGCTGGGGAGATGCTGCCTTGCTGGTGATGGCCTGGCTTTACTGGTCAGCTGAAGCCCTCCAGCAGCTCACGTTCCAGTGTCCAGGCTGCCAGCAGTACCCAGGGACTGTGGTGATGGGTCAGGCACCAAGAGGAAGACAGGCTAGATAGTATATTAAAAAAAAGACAAATAATACTTTCGGTCTAATACTGGGCACAGCACACGCTTTTCAGTCTTTGCATTTTCTAAGGCTGAGGAAAGAAGCCTCAGTAAAGTGTTCACAGAGTGCCAGGGTAAACCACAGCTTCCCCAGTTTTCTTTCTGCTTCAGAAAAATCAGTCTTGGCCATGAGAACCATCTGATTTGTGGAGGGTGATGAGGAAAATCCCTGTTTACAGTGCTCATGGGCACTGCAGTATTGAGCTGAGGCTGGTGGAGGCTATGCAGATGTAAAAGCTCTTCCTGCAGCTGAGTGAATGCACAAGTCCATCTGGGGTGCTACCCAGGCAGGCAAATGTAAGATGGCTGTAAGTGTACACTCGTATAACCTGGATGTTTAGTTTCCCTGATTTTTTTTGCCAGGAAAATTGAATAGCAAAAGTTTGTAATTCAGGGGGAAAAAAAGACAGAGTTAGTATACATACTTTTAAAAAAGAAGTCTTTAATTCATATTTGAGTGAAACAGATGCAGTTGTTTATAATTTAATAGAGCCACCATTTAATCAAAAAGGTATTTTATTTTGGAAAGGGCATTGAATGTGATGAGTTACATTTCAACCACTTCTTCCTTTTTATTAAAATGGCCTTGTTGTGCCTTCCAAGACTTTTGCTTGAGCAAGTAATATGTGCCTCATCTCATTTTAGAATGTCAGTTTATTCAGGATTCTTTTTGTTAAACCTGTGTCTTTGGCTTTCACCTTTCATAAGCACTTGACACGGATGGCTCAGTTGCAGACCCCTGGGAGCTGGACCAACAAATTGGTTTGTTGGGCAGAGTGAGACCCCCAACATGGGGAATGTGGGGACTGGGGCACACGGGGTACCCCAGGGTATGGCTGGGGAGAAGGACAGGCAAAAGGCTGCTCCAGCTCATGGAGTGCCCTGTGCCGACCTGAACAGGCTCTTGGGCGTGATGAGAAGCTGGGAGTAGGACAAGAGAGGTGCAGAAAGGCTTCCTGCTCTGCTTTCAGTTCATCCCAGAGTCGGCGCGGTACAACGTGTCCACGGGAAACGTGGGGGCTGCGCTGGCCACGCTGCAGAGGATAGCCAGGATGAACGGAGCAGCCATGCCCGACGGGCAGCTGAGGGAGCCTGCCAAGGTAGGTCGAGGCTGTCCAGCCCATCCATCCCAGGCAGGGCTGCCGGCATCTGGGCTTCAGGGAGGGAGCGGGACTGCCAGCCATATCTTGCTCTGCCTCTCTCATCCTCCTTGCCTGGCTCTCTTCCAAACAACTGCTGAAAGTGATGATGAAGATGTCAGTTTTCTTTTGGAGAAACCATAATCTCAGCCTTCAGAATGGAACGGAGTTTTCTGCTTTTTTTTCCTCCTCAATTTGTGTTTGCTCAGAAAAAGATTGGGCTAAAAAAAATATTTCCTTCCTTTACCACGAAAAGGGCTCCTGGCAAAGCATGCTGCTCCTTATTGCCCACCCATCCTGCAGGGCTGTTCCCTCAGAGAACATGAGATGCCATGAAATCTGGGAGCTGTCCATTGGGGTCTCTCTCAGGGCTGTGACTGGGCCTCTGCAGGGATCCCTGCCACGAGGTCAATCCAGTGCTCCCAGAGGCTTCTCCCAGCCCCTGGCCTGGCTTGTCCACTGTGTCCCAGGACTCCAGATCCCTGAGTGTGGAGCTGCAGACCAACAGAAGAGGGTCAAAGCAGGAGAGACCATTTCACAGATACCACCAGCTGTACCTGTAAGCAGCTGAGCAGCTCAGGAGGGGAGCACTGCTGGACTGAAATGCCCAAAAACATGCGTGGGTGCTGCAGGGGGGGCAGGCTCCCCCCTGACTTCTCCCCCTCTCACCCAGTCTGGGCCCTGCTGACTGGTGAGTGGGAGGCCTTAGGTGTCTCCTTTGACCCCCCAAGACAGGAAGATTAGACAAACCCATTGTTCAGGGCCTCAAAATTACCCAGTTCTTTTAAATCCCTTTCCTGGATCTTTTTCCTACGTATTCAATCCCACAGGCACCAAGTATTGTCCTTAGCAATTCATGCAAGATGGTGCTATTGTATTGGAATTAGTTAGGATTAAAGCTTCCATGTAATTTAATTGAATTTATGTAATGGACCACATTGGATATGGGAAGGGTTTTTGTTAGTTTTACCCTCTCTCAGGCTTAACCAATGATGAGGAAAATAAAAATAAAGTCAATCCACACTATCTTTGTGAACTTGTCTCCCCTCGGTGGTGGGATCCTGGGGAGCAGCAGGCCAGGCAGGGCCCCCAGTGCCTGCCAGTCTCTGTTCACTGGCATTTCAGGCCTCCCAGAAAGATGTATGTGTCCAAAAACTTGCTTCACAGGCAGAGCAGCATGCAGGGCAGTGGGAGCTGACAGAAGCCCCAGCAATGCTGTTCCCCTAACAGTAACCCGGGCCCCCTCTGGCACCATCATGGTCACAATGGAACCAGACTGCTCCTGATCTAGGGGGTCCTTTGGGGCCAGGAGAGCTCAGGATGTCCTCTTCTCCCCTCCTCCATCCACTGCATTGCAGCTTCCTGTGGGTATCTTTTGGGAAGAGGGGTTTTGCCCTCTGGAGGTTTGGTGGGGGCTGTGTTGCACCGTGACTCTGCCTGTGCCACAAACAGCCTGGGGACAGGGGGAGCACAGGAAGACCCCGTGTGCCTACTACTCTCCCAGAACACTTGCTCCTGTATAATACATGCCTTTGTAGAAACTTCTATTTCTATTGTACGATTTTCAGGAAAGAAGGGGAAAATTCAAGGACCTCATCCACCCCAAATACCGCAGAACCACTTTGCAGATATGGATCATTTGGTAAATATTTTTTTTCTCTTGCTTATTAGCTCATTCTCTTGGTTGATAGTGTGCTGGGAGCAGAAGTCTTGCACAGACTCTGCCTTTAACAGGACACCACTCTGCCTCTGATGGTGGCTGCAGCTGGAGGGACATGGATCACCATAGGTTTGTCCTGTTTCAGACCACACCTCAGACACCCTAACTGGTTGCTGTTAACTTAGGCAGAAAAGGGCTGGACTTCCAGGATGGTGCAATTGAGTCCTTCCTCAGGACAGGGAGGCTCCTGGGAGCCAGGGGAGAGCCACAGGGCAGAGCCCACACCTGACTGCAGCAGGACCAGCCATGTGTCTTTGGCTTCCCTTCCCTCCTTGGGGTAAACTTGCTCTCCCAGAGGATGGCCAAAGGACCAGTGAGACAGGGCTCTGACAGAAACACTTTCACCATTACCAGTGCTGCTCGCTGAGGGAAATTAAGATTGAGGAGGCAAGTTTCATATGCAGTGTTCGCAGTAGCTGTATGCAAGGGTAATACATGTTTCATTGACTTTGCTGCCTGAAATGGAAATGCATAAATAATAGGTCTGTGGGAATCCATTGACCCAAAATGTTGTGAAGTCAGGCCTTGAATTTTTTATGGGTTTTTTTTCCCTTGATTTCTATGAACGTTATGAAATATCTTTTTGGTTTTTTATCTTTCTTTGTCTCCTAGTCGTCCCAGGAGTTTCTGGCATGTTCTCGGGTCTGCATTCCCACTCCCCCCACCATTCCTTGCCTTCCCAGGTGGCCCAAATTCTGCTGCTCATTTCTGAAACTGCCAGGGGGGATAAAAAAGTGAAAATTACTTTTCAGCCTGCTTGTGATCAGGTGTATTCTGAATTACTTGATAATGACAAAGCAAGGCTGCCATCAGCAATGCTGTGTTTTTGACAGTCAGCCAGTGTGCAATGTGAGCCTCTCCGGCCAGTTAATGAAAACTCCTCTTGAAAATCCCTGGGTAGAAAGGATAAGGACATTCACACTCCTCTCCTGATCCAGTGTGGGGTCCTTCCCATGGGAAACAGTCCTCCATGAATTGCTCCAATGTGAGTGTTTCCCATGGACTGCAGTACTTTATGAGCTGCTCCAGTGTGGGTCCCCCAGGGAGTCACAAGTCCTGCCAGCAAACCTGCTCCAGCATGGGCTCCTCTCTCCATGGAGCAAAGGTCCTGTCAGGAGCCTGCTGCAGCATGGGCTTCCCATGGGGTCACTGCCTCCTTCGAGCATCCACCTGTTTTGGCATGAGAACCTCCAAAGGCTGCAGGTGGATCTCTGCTCACTGTGGACCTCCATGGGCTGCCTTACCGCTGTCTGCACCATGGGATGCAGGGGAACCTCTGTTCTGGCACCTGAAGGACCTCCTGCCTTTCATTCTTTACTGACTTGGGTGTTTGCAGAGATGTTTCTCACACATGTTCTCACTTCCTTCTCTGGCTCCTGTTGCTCTTGCACATTTTTTTCCGGTTCTAACAAATAGTATCCCTGAGGCACTTCCTGTATTGCTGATGGGCTCAGCCTTGGTCAGCAGCAGGAGCCAGCTGGCATCGGCTCTGTCAGGCATGGAGGAAGCTTCCAGAAGATTCCCATAGAAGCCACCCCTGTAGTCCCCACCCAGTACCAGAACCCAGCCATGCAAACACAATACCAAGTTGAACTCTGAGCTGGGGTGAAGTTTACTGAGAAAGAGCAGTGCCTGGACATAGGTAGGAGGGGAGTGCCATGGGACAGGTGACCAGTGGCCTGGTGGATGCCCAGGCCACCTCTCTGCTCAGGCTAAGGGGTTCCATCATGCAGAGCTGGTGCAAGCAGCAGCAGAGATTCCAGGGCACCCCATACCTGCTGCATTTTAGTTTCCTCCCCTTCCCCATCATAGCAGCACCTCACTGCAGCATTTCTCCCCACAGGCTTGGCATAGCTTTTGCTTACTATGGTGTCATCTTGGCCAGTGCTGAGTTGCTGGAGCGGGACCTTGTCTGTGGCTCTGCAGCCCCGCCACTGCAGGACTCCACTGATGTCTCTGAGGAGAGCCACAGCCCCTGCCACTGCCGCTTGTTTGGGCCCGCTGCCTACCAGACCATGATCATCAGCACAGTCGGGGAGATCGCACGTAACCTCTTCCCCATCCTTGCCCTGCCATTCCCCTCTCACAGTGCTCACTGCAAAGCTTTGAGCTGTGCATGCACTTGGTGACAGGGGCCAACATGAACTAGGCACTGCTGGCAGCTTCTGGGAAACATGCCATGAGCCTGTGGCTCCTGGCTCAGCAGGGCACTCAGTGGGGCACACCTCATGCCCTGGTGTTTCGCTGGGTTGAGGTCAGAGGGAGCAAAACCACCCAGGCCTGTGCTGCTCACCCAGCCGTGCCTTCCTTGCATGGCTCCAGGACAGACATTGGTGTCCTGCCTCAGCTAAGTTCAGGGAAGCACAGGATTCATAATTTGAGGGGAAAGGTGAAAAAAAAGGGGCCTGGGGGCAAATCACAAGCTTTGGGTGCAGGAAGAGAATGATAGCATTTGTGCATTTTAAAGGATGTTTGGTGGGCACTGGGAATGCAGACAGGTAGATACCTGTCACACTGTGTAAGGTCTGTCAAGGCAGACAATCGTCAAATGTTTTATGGTTTTCCTTTTTATTTCCAGTAAATCCTGTGAACATTCTCAGCATCAATCTGCTTGGAAGACGTCTAAGCCTATGTATCACCATGGGATGTACAGCTCTATTCTTTCTTCTCCTTAATATCTGCACCTCAAGGTACTCCGGTTCATACTATGGGTCTTGTTCAAGGGTATGCAATGCTGAAGGCAGGATCTCTGTTATTATCAGATCACCAGTCTGCCAGGCCAGTAATTCTTGTAGGTCTGAGAAAAGCCTCTGACTGGGTCTCCTTTTCCTGGGAAAGCTGTGGCAGCAGATTCTGTGGTGCAGTGGTATGCAGAGGGGCTCACTAGTATTACTGAGCCCACATGGCTTCCCCTAAGCATCCAACACACTGCTTTCTAGCACAGTCCAGAAAATTAAAAAATGTGTGAACAACGTACACCAGAAAGAAGTCATATTTTTTCGTTCACTTTTTTTCCCCTTTCTTTCTGGCATCTCTGCTGATGCTGCTCTGTGACATTAACTGCTCCACATGGCTTTCTCTCCAGCACAGGCATGGTTGGCTTTCTCTTCATGCTGCGTGCCTTGGTTTCAGCCAACTTCAACACCATCTACATTTACACAGCAGAGGTGGGTTCTCCTTGAGGTATGTTGAGCTGCTTGGAGGCTTCCAATACCATTTGTGTATACCCAGGAATGCTGCCTGCTAGTTTATCGACTAGTTAAGAGTCACCTTCCTTGAACTGTGTGTCTCTGGCATCTTGCCCACAGTGTTTTCATATTCAAGATAAGAGAAGGGATCAGAAAACCAGCTTGGAGATGACAGGGTTAGATGGAAGAGGAGTGCCCTACTAAGCCAGCTGTTACTCAGCTCCCATTTTTGAGGGAGTTTGGTACCACTATCTTCCAAAACACACAATCTTTCCCCTATCTAACCCCCACAGGGAGACAACAGACTACCACTGAAAGGAACATTTTCCAGCACTTAAGGGGCTGTATGAGGTAGTATATGGGGTTATACATATCATTCTTTTCACTTAATGGAAATTATTGGCTATGTTCTGTCTGCAAAAAGTTTTAATCCTTTAAAGAGCTTTTACTTCATACAGCTTTGGAACCATGAGTTCTGCGAGTTAAGTATAAATTGTTGAGGGTTTTTTTGTTCTTTTTTTAAAAAAACAATTGTATGGAGTTAAATGGATTTCCCTGTTAATTGACTAAAATGATCCAAAGCAAACAGAAGTAGCTCCCTTGCACTCTTAATAGTGCACTGTAATATTTAAACCTGCACCTGGCTTTAATACTACAATTTTGGTAGTTTTGAATAAGTTGCTATTGATGTAAAGACCATTGCTGTAACAGCCATATCATAAATCAGTTCCACTCACAATTTAATCAATGGCCAAAATCTTTTAAGCCAAGTACCTGGACTCTTCTTGAATTAACTTACTTAATATGCTTGGTCTAGTAAAGTGTTTAAACAAAGGCTGATATGAATATACTTGCTAAAATCTGTTGATATTAAGAGGACCTAAAGTTCAGTAAAATTCATATTTAAGTGTTTCATTGGCACAAGTGTTTGGGAGGTGTGAAAAATAAACTACACAAAGCACATTCTTCTAAGCCTGGATATATCTGTTTTTCTTCCTTCTAAACAAAGGTGCTGTTGATAAAAATGAATAGGCAGACTTAAACACTGCAGACAATATATTTTCTTTCTGTTTTCCAGATACAAGGCCCAGCAGTATAAATAGAATTTTTCCTTTAGCACCCAACCTAACCCCTGTGATTTTGTTTATAGTGCCAGGCAATAAAGTGGTGGTAGTGGTGCTAAACAAAGGGGACTCACATCCAGCTTTAACTTGTCCTGAAAACTTTACTTGGGGAAAAAAGGACAGATTTGTAATGGCTCAAATGAGGCCCAAGGTAGCTTTTATTTCTTTTCATATCTTATCCGACTAGCTGCCCTTGATAACGCAATATTCTATCTGATAATTTTTTTTTTAAAAGACCAAGAAAAGTACAGGTATTGTGGATTGCTGTTGCACTAATCCAGTTTTTTTTCTGGCCTGTTTTAGGTTTATCCCACCACAATGCGAGCACTGGGGATGGGGACAAGTGGGTCACTGTGCCGTGTGGGAGCAATGGTGGCTCCATTTATATCACAAGTAAGAGCATGCTTGATAATGCTGGTAAACATTGGACACTGTCATCAAATGCAGACAGCTGTCCCTGAAATTCATCCAAAAAAAAAAAAGGGAGGATGTAATCAGTTCCCTCCCAACCTCATATACAGAGTACTTGGGTGGTCTTTGCCAGATGTAGCTTTCAGTAACTCTCATCACAGAGTTCAGTTCACTAGTATTTGATACTTTCTGAAAGCTCTTAAGGTTCTCAAGATACTGTTATTTCTATTGTGGAGCCTCAATCATTTATGACTCTTTGTCCACTCTTAATTGCTAATTAAGTGCCAGCCCCTCACACCAGTGTGCTCCTGTTTGATGTTCTTCGGCCTGCAGGTTCTTATGAGTGCTTCTTTCGTGGGGGCCCTGTGTCTCTTCTCCTCTGTGTGCATCATCTGTGCCATCTCTGCAGTCACACTGCCCATTGAGACCAAGGGCAGGGCCCTGCAGGTGAGTACCACTACTCCAGGAGCTCCTGTGTATCTAAAGGCTGTTAGGGATGGGTAGGTGATGATACAGTCAGAATCCAAACCTAACTCTCCTGAGGTTTCACAAGCCTGATAGGCACTCACAGGAACGTTCTGCTGCAGCAGATTCAAGCACTGTTATCCCAGGTGCCCAAAACTTGTTTCTTGTGAAAGAACAAGCCAGGATGGCAGCCCCAGCCACCTCAGTAAGTGTGTGAGCTTTAGCTTGTGGGAGCCCCTCTTTATCTCCAATTCTGACCTGAAGATGCAGCTTCCCAAGTACATGCTCTGCTCTGCCTGTGCTGCAAGGAGAGAGGACAGCAGATGCAATGAGTACCTAAACTACCAAAGTAATTTTGTAATCAAATTCAAGGCAAGAGCCCCACCTTCATCAGTCCATCAGCTAAGCCCTTGTGGTCAGTGTTTTCTATAAAGCAATCAGCCAAAACATTAAGCCCAAAGATTAAGGGGGAAAGTTTAAATTTAGCAGTCTCCCATATGCAAATCACACCAGTTCAATTAGAGGAGGTGGTGAGCAGTCCTGTGGTTCTAATAAATTCATCTATACAGCATGGAGATTTTTATGGCATGCAGCAGCATGGTCACACCACTCTGCAGTCTGACCTGTATAGACCACAAAATCATAGGCTAAGAATAATCCACATTCTTTAGCAGCCTAAAGCATGGCAGATGTTTGATCAAACTAGTTTATGAGGGCTTCCAAACTAGACTTCGAAAAACCCATCCCTACAAGCACAGGGATTTCCTGCCAGAAGTGAGACTTTTGGACATATCCAAACACATTATTCTCCACTGCATCCATTTCTGTTGTGTTTTGTGTGCATTTTATTAATTTTATGTATTACTTTTTCTTACTCCCTTTTTAGCAAGTAAAATGAGAGCGGATGTTTGATGTTGGATTGGGTAGGAAAGAAAAATAAACTCCTGGACTCGGTCACTTCCTGTGAGCTTCATTTGATGCTGATTGCTTCTCCATACTGTTTCCATTATTAAAAAAAATGCAATTGAACTGTGTAAGAGCTATGATTTGTGTAGACAAATGGTAATTTTCTCAAGGATCTTTCCCTTCTTATGATTCAATAAACAGATGTTTTCTATCCTTCTTGTGAAGTGAGATGAAGACTTTACTCCTAGTGCTATCAGTAACGATACTGCATACATGGTACTAAAAAAAAATAGGAAAATCATTAGGTGAATTGAGGTAAAGGAGAAAAATACACAAAGTAGATAGAGTCTCTGCCATAGCAGCTTGAAAAGATATAGTACTTTCCTCAACTTTTTGTGCAAATACTACCTGCATGGAAATAGTAAAACTTGGATCTCAAACCATACACAGTGATGATTTCTGATCATTGTTGGGGTGATATTTAAGACCACGAAATGAAAGGTGAGTCAGATTTTTTCAAGTGGATTATTTCAAGAGAGTTCCAAGCAGTTTACAGCAGACAGGTAAGTAACTGGACACAGAGTACATCCACTCTTCTGTCCTCAGCATTTTCCACTGCGAGAACAACTTCAATGTGAAGTTAGATCTTTAAGACTTCAAGTGTTGTGGTGGCAGTGCCTCTTTATTTTTTTAACTCTCTACTACTGCAGTATGCACTGATCACAGCTATGTTGCTAGAATGGTCTCCCTCACCATTTTGTTCTCCTCCTTAACTTCTCTTTTCTATTTTCTATTATGCTGGGAAGGTATCACTTACAAGCAACTCTCTTCAGGTAGTAAAAACTTTCTGTAAAAACCCAAACCAAACAACAATGACGACAGCAATATAAAAAAGCAAGCAAACAAACAAACAAACAAAAAAGACTCTGGGCTCATATGATCAGAAGTTATGTCAAAGGCCTACTGCAAACACAACTGAGTATTTTTTGGGAGTGTCCATTATATTTTAGTGTGCAGTGCCACCCTTTGACAAAGACAGGTAGGCAGGATCTCAGCAGGTGAGAGGCAAAACCAGGTCTTTTTCTCATTACACATGTACACAGCAGAAAGGCACAGAGTCTCTTCCATGCTCTATGCAAAGCACCACATCAGGGCCTGATTGTGTTATTCTGACTGTCTAATTAGTCTTGCTGGAAAAGTGCTCTAAATTTAAATAAACCATTTGCTGAAGGCAAATCGGCAAAATCAACTCAGAGAAATAGGTAATATTTGTTAAATTTTTAACAGAATTTTTAAAATCGAAGTCTTATACCTAAAAAGTGCTTCCAAATCATGGAAAGGTCTTCATTATCTATTTATCCCTTAAAAAAGAGGGGACCTTCCATCTAGAGCAACTCCTGACTATTGCTGAAAGGTCTGTGAGTGGACGAAAGGAATAGATGGACTCACAACTCAGCTGGAAAACATTTCCCACAGGTCCTGTGATTTGGCAGGTGTTCCTGCAGGATTTCTCCCAGAACAAAGCTGCCAGCAACGACGATTCTGGCTGCACTTGGAACCCAAAATGCCACCTCTGAGCTGACCCCTAGACACTGGGGGAATAAGGATTTTTTCCCCAAGGAAAATGGCCACTGTTAGTGTCCAGTCTCACTGGCCAACACTAGGATCTGACTCATAAAATCACAAACGTCACAGGATTTCTCCCAAACCACAGCTGCCATCAACTCTGGCTGCTCCTGGAACCCCAACACATGCATACCTTCTCCCTGGTTTAGTAAATCAGCTAGGCCTTGCCATTGCACATTCAATTGGGGATTCTTATGTAAGAGCTTTCAAAAATTGGTTTAGCATCAGAAAAATTTTTCAGAGCAGCATCACTCTGCTAGGAACCAAACCTGATGATCTACCCTCAAAAAATTTTTAGTATAAGTATTGCATTATTCAAACATTCTTAAGGAGCCAATTCCCCCTTCTTTTTGTTTTAAAAATAAAATACACGTCTCCTGTTAGGTACGTGAAGGGAACATTAAAGCAAAACAACATATTTAGTAAAACAACAAGCTTAGATTAGGCAGGAATAAGTTAAGTAATATATGTAACACATATGAAATTGAAAACAAGGCATTATCAATCCCTTAAAATACTGTACTATCACCCTGAGTCTGCAACACCTGGCAAACCTCATTTTCGGTGAAGACATGGATAACCGTTCCCGGGAAAGGTTTCCAAGTTAAAAGTGGGTCCAGCTGTCATAAATTCAAATCGCCAAGTCAAAGTGACTTGAATATAGTTTTGATGCAGAAAACACCTGGCTTTTTCAGCAAATTTCCCAACCAGGTAGATCCAGGGCTTGGCCAGAGCCCAGGCCTTACTTGGAAGTGTCTCCCTTACATATCTTTAAAAAAAGTTTCCAAATAATAGCAGTTAGGAAATGCCCCAAACACAGCAAACCACTGGAGTCATTCTGTGAGCATGACTGAGATTGCATCCGATTACCAAAAAGTAGAAGTAGCCTTGCCCTTAATAGGTGGCAGCTGTGTTTAATAAGGATGTGTGATATCAAAAAGTTAAGTTGGTCATGGTGTTGTGAGGTGCTGGCTGTAGCATTTCACAGAAAAAAGGTATGAAACCTTTACCAAAGGATAATAAACTGCTGATGCTTGCTACCATTTTTGGCGTCAGTCATGTGACCACTGTCAGGACTGCGTCTGCATCCTGTGCTTCCTCCTCTCTCACAAGGACCACAAGACCATCATCTTGGATGAGGCTTTTGACAAAGCTCTGATATCTTTTCCTGGAAGTCTGAAAATACATAAAAATCATGAAACTGTACTGGATCAAGCCATAACAAACATGCTGAAACAAGAGAAGGGACTAAAGACTGAAAAAAGTCAGTGCAGGGTGAAAGTGGTTAGCTTTCTTTTTTCTGCTTTCACTTAGAGTCAGGATTGAATGCTCTAGAGACAGATTTTTTTTTGTTTGGAGATGGTTGTTTATTACTCTTGCCTGAAGTACAGGGAGTTCTTCAGCACTTCTAGCTATCAAGCTAAGAATGAGAAAATGGAAGTAAATGTAGCTACTTACAAGGTCTTTTAAAGCTTAACTATTCAATTAAAAGCTAACATGTATATTATTTATACTTTTGACACCATAACCAAACACCTGGGACCCACACTGCAGTACTATCTAACCAAAAACTACTACCTGAAATCATGAAGAAGGAACAAGAAGGAAGAGAGACAACATCCAAGAACATCCACCTTGTCCCATACCTATTATTGCATTCTAAAACCCCAAATTCAAAACCCTTCACCAAGTGAAATTATGCACTTCTATTTTAATTACACACCAGTGATTCTAACTAGATCACTCGAATTTGGAAGGCTTCTCCAATGCCCCAAATCAAAAGCAGTGCTCTTCTGAGGGTCAGTGTCAGAAAGCACAGAAAGTTTAAAACTGCCAGGCTTCAGGGTTCCAACACAGGGAACAGCTACAGAGCCTGTTCAAGGAGATGCATCTGCAGCTAGAGAACAAAAAAAGAGGTCCCAAAATGACACATCTTGTAGATAATTACACAAACTTACATTAAAGTTTATGAAATAACCGGCTGTAAGTAAAGCAATAATATCTTACAATTAATTCATATTAAACAATCAGTGAAGTCACATTATGAGATAAAAAAAGAAAGCACCAAACATCTCACAATCAGTAACATCTATAATCTCGAACCATTACTCGCTCCTCTGTGTTATCTATAGAAGATAAAACAGCAGAGATCATAATAAACTATTATTGTCATATTATGATATGTCAACTAAATAACTATTTCAAAGCATTGACACCTGTTGAACCTGCAAGGAAATCAAGGGTTTAACAAACTGTATCTTCTTATACCCATAAGCAGGTATTTATCAACATTTCATCGCAGCTGTTTTGGTCAGATCCATCTTATCACTGGAAGAAAATAACTATATCTTGCAATTTAGACAAGCATATTTTAGCAAAATTAATTTACTAGAACTCAACCTTAATTAACAGGATTTCAAAATACTAGAATGTAACTTAACATTACCCAGAGCTAAAAAACACTGAAGTTTAACTTTGTTTAACCTTATCAACACTGAAGTCGCATT